ATGTGATTTGTTTTATCTCTCGCATAGGGATTGCCCTAAAATGAGCTATATAAACAAACTTATCAAACGACCATGAACATTTTACTATCAATTCATTCAACATACATGTGTTAAGCGTTAAAATAGTATAGGAGTCTGTGTTAAGTATAGTTATGCCCTTTTGGCACATGATTTGCATAAACAAAAAGTGCTAAACATTGGCATTAATTCTCAATTCAATACTAAATCCAATGTTTGTTTCATTAAAACATATCTTATTTACCGATTAATTGTTACTAAAATTATTTTTAATTTATATATTATTTGTTAAGTTTTTGTACCAATAATTAAGCCATTGTTTTATGCAATCAATTGAAGTCTATTTATAAATATAGAAATTAATTGAGAATTGAATCGAAAAAATCAAAATAATTGACAAAATGTTTCATTTAATGACAAAAAACAGGACTTTTCGCCAAAATATAGGAATATTTTCCGTAAATTTGATTAATATTTTGAATTGAATTGAAAACTAATTGTTATATTTGTATCCAATTTACAGAAAAATGTGCAAATATTGTCGACTAAACGGCTGGAGATTTGCGGACCAAATGCCAGACATTTTGGCAAACAATCCATTTATTTCGCCGATAAGTTGGACTCAAATGAATCGGTGATTAAGTCTTGCATTTCAGACAATTGGTTAAGCGATTGGTTGCGAAACCAATCAGTGATTGTCTTTTGAATTGTTATCTAATCTGTGGTTAAATTTTATGCAGAAATTTAGCAAAATATTGTAGCGTTTGTCTCCTCTCTAGCGCACAGCACACTAATTCTGCACAGCTGTTTACCCATAGTTTTCACAACGGTAAGTAAGTCTGTAACTAAGGTGCCGAGAAGTGCACGTTTACCGGCTGCTCAGGAATTGTGTTGGAAGCGCCGCCTCTAAAGACAGTTACCTCAACGTCGACGCCATTCTGGATGTGATCGATAGGAGTGGCGCACAGGCCGTACACCCGGGCTATGGATTCCTATCGGAAAACACAGATTTTGCCAAAAAATTGAATGATATTGGAGTCGAATTTGTTGGACCCAACTCTTCGGCGATCCACGCGATGGGCGATAAAATCGAGAGTAAGATAATCGCCAAAAAGGCCGGCGTTCACACCATTCCCGGCTTCGACGGTGTCATCAAAAACGCTGACGATTGCGTGCGTTTGGCACAAGAAATTGGTTATCCGGTGATGATTAAGGCGTCGGCCGGTGGCGGAGGGAAAGGGATGCGAATCGCGTGGAACGATAGGGACGCTGTGGAGGGCTTCCGGTTCTCGTCGTTGGAGGCGTCGTCCAGTTTTGGTGACGACCGGCTTCTCGTCGAGAAGTTCATCGAAAACCCCCGACATATCGAAATCCAAGTCCTCTGCGATAAGCATAAGAACGCCTTATATTTGAACGAAAGGGAGTGCTCTATACAGAGGCGGAACCAGAAGGTGATAGAGGAGGCGCCCAGTGTTTTCGTTGATCCCGAACTGCGCCGAAAAATGGGCGAACAGGCGGTGGCGTTGGCTCGGAACGTGGGCTACGACTCCGCGGGAACCGTCGAGTTTCTGGTCGACGCCAAGAAAAACTTTTATTTCTTGGAAATGAATACTCGACTACAAGTGGAACATCCGATCACTGAATACATCACTGGTATAGATCTCGTCCATCAGATGATTCGTGTGGCGAAAGGCCATAAACTGAAGCTCAAACAGAGCGACGTTCAGCTAAAGGGCTGGTCAGTTGAGTCCCGTATTTACGCCGAAGACCCGTATAAGAGCTTTGGTTTGCCGTCAGTGGGAAGACTCACGAAATACAAAGAACCGCTTCATATCGAAAACGTGAGGTGCGATAGCGGTGTGAAAGAGGGCTCAGAAATCAGTATATATTACGATCCGCTTATCTGTAAATTGGTTTCGTATGGAAGCGATCGAAACTCAGCGCTGAAAACCATGACAAAGGCTTTGGACGCGTATGTGATCCGAGGTCTCACTCATAACATTCCACTTCTTAGAGATATCATGACTGAAGAGAAGTTTGTTTCGGGAGATATCAGCACAAAGTATTTACAGGAGACATATCCCGAAGGCTTTAAAGGCAAATCATTGACACCGCAAAAGAGTCGGTTTGTGTCTGCGATGGCGGCCGCCATCTTCGTAAAGGACAGCGTTAGAGCCAAGAATTATCTCAACTTTGTATCCACTGATGTGTCGCTTCAAAACCCCACTCTTGAGTTTGAGTTAATGGTAGACATCGGAAACGGAGAAATGGTTTTACCACTGAATCTCAACATTGAAGATAACGTGTATTCAGTCGATGTTAATGACCACCGCATTGATCTGAACAGTGATTTCTCATACCGAAGTAGACGAGAGCTTAAATCGTAATTATTACTAAACGTAAATTAAGTTAACTATAGTTAACTACCGTGGCCTTCTTACGCTAATGTTATGCTCCCTTGTTAACATACAGATAACTTTAACGAATCAATTTGTATTATATATTAATTGTGATTTATATATTGGTTTTAGTATAACATTCATGTAATGCCCGAAAAAGTGGCCAAATATTACGAATTGATTCCAAATAAACCGAAACCAGATGTGAGCAAAACATTAAGGTCTCCAATGCCTGGATTAGTCAAATCTGTGTCCTGTTCTGTAGGAGATTTGGTATGCATTTTATTGACATCATTTATAATTACATATAATGACTGTTAGTTATTGAAATAATTATTGATTAATTAATTTTTATTAAAAGGTTTCTGAGGGACAAGAGGTTTGTGTAATTGAAGCCTACTTTTACGTTTTGTCGGATTGTCACTCATGAAGCCCTTTTTAATTTCGGTAATTGACATTCAGACCTCTGTGACAGCTACTGCTCGTCTAGGAGTAAGTTGATCTTATTTCACAAACAGCGTTTACCACTGCCAATCAACAGTCAAGCAATCAATGAAATATATTTTTGGTTCAAATGTGTCATTAATTAATGTCAAGTTTTATGAATTGTGTTTCTCATTGGCGTCTAATTTTATGCTGTTTTTAACTAAATATTATTATAATTATATATATTATGATTCAAATTCTAGATACATATTAAATTTCAATGTAATTCAAAACCAAGATCTTTACTAAATAGTGTTGAGTAATCAACGATTAAAACAATATTTTCATATTTAGTATGTATTAGCCTTTTATATACAAGATTGTTTAAAATGAGATTTTGTTACGAAAAATAAACATTTGTTTTTAAGATTATAATGTAATTTTGTTGTTAAATATTTAGACAAATATGATTAACATTTTTGCTGATCCCTCACTAAATCATCCTTTCATTGACTCAAAAAATAACTATAAAAACGGGAAACAAAACAATTAGTTTAAAGTTTTATGCATTTAGTGAATGTCTTGTGAGCTGTTCTTTATATCGATCTCTAACCCAACGTCTAAACACAACACACATGACGGCAACTGCTCAGTGGTATCATTGGTATCAGTGCTCTCACTGCAAACAAAAGACATTTTTTGGCACAAAACTCGATAGTCAGCTGAGCAGAGAGTGATCCACTGATACCAGCGCTCAAATCACATCCAACTCCTGTGTTTCTATGCGCTCTTTTTAGCTCAAAAATGATCACTCCTTTGATACTAACCTTGGATTCATACGAACTTTTCATTACTTACATATTATATCATAAATATCTGTGAATATTCTGAGTAACATCTTTTATTTACTTTAATTTTCATGAATCGCTTTCATATATAACTAAAATACATATTCTGTTATTCTGTTCGCGAATTCTTATTTAAACGAAACCCTCAATGAAATATTCAATTCATCTGACATTTCAATCCTAAGCTATAAGTATTGATTACTCTGTTTTCAAAATAATTTTTAAAAAAATATTTAATGGAATTTTTAATACCATTGTTATCGACAAATATCATACAATTTTTCCAATTGTTTTCTATGATATATTTAAGTGAGTGTCAAATACTCATTAATTCGTTGTGTATTTATAATAAGTGATACAATAGTGTCAGTAATTCATATTATGGGCTAAATTGCTGACTAATTATTCGCTATTTGTTATTATAATTATAATATAGTGTAAGTGTTTTGGAAGGAAACGTGAATTGGGGGGAGATTTCCATACATTCGTTACAGTATTGGTATTCACTCTTTACTTATCGTAAGTGAAATACAAATTAATTTATTTCTAATTAAGGCACGACTTTATGCCACCAAACATCGATAAACTCCACATTTAATCTATAGTTTTAATTAAATAAAACCAATTTTTAGTAATTACTTAGTTTTTTAATTAAAGTATTATAGTATTACTATTTTCTATAAATTTTTTATTGCAGTATTATTTCCATGTCATCAATAATTTATGCAGTATTTAAACATTGAATGAATTGAAAATACATTTAAATAATTGAATAGTTGTGTAGAGAAAATGCGAAAACAAAGTCATATACTCCATAGTATTGTAAAAATATAGTATATTTAAAAAATCAATTAATTATTTAAATGTTATTTTTCTGTATTAGTGTAAAACCAATCAATTTGGTTGCCGGGGATTAAATGGTCTTTCGTATAAAATATAAATAGCAAAAACAAGATTATGATAATTAGGGTTCACTACTGGAGCTGTTATTTAATAAAAAGATAATTTGATTCAAAAAAGTATTCCTGAATTTGGGATATAATGTGCCTTCGCTTCTGGTCTCAAACCAATTGCAGTCAAGAATATATTAAATTTGATTTCAAGTTTGGGATACCATTTATTGTGTATCAAATTGATACGATTTTATTGTGAGTATATATTCTTTAATACTTTAACCATATTTACATTAAATGACATTTTATTTAAATGTGTATTTGTTATTCAATCCCGTATTAAAGGTTTTATTGCATTTAAAAGCAATTTATCATTTTCTCGACGTTTAATCCATTAATGGTAAACAATTGGACAGATATTCTGCTCCAATATGTCTGGAATTAAAGTGCATTCAAGCCGTGAACCGAAATGTCCGGACGGGGGCTGGGGTTGGGTCGTTGTGTTCGCCAGTTTCATGATTCACGTGATCGCCGACGGCATTACCTATGCTTTTGGTATCTTTTATTATGAGATTTATAAATATTACGGAACCAGTAATGCAATGACTTCTTGGGTCGTATCCATTATGACCGGAACCACTTATTGTGTCGGAAAGTATTGTTTATAACTCATTTATCATGTATTAAATGTGAACATGTTAATTGATGTGCTTAATTGCGATAATCAGGTCCAATAGCGAGCGCATTGACCAATAAGTACGGGTGTCGTGCCATTACAATAGTGGGCGCGATATTAGCGAGCATTGGATTCGTGACGAGTCTAATAGCGCCGAATGTGATTACATTGTACTTTACGATTGGCATTTGCACTGGTTTTGGCTTCGGCTTAATGTATGTTATATTTCTATTATGCAATTTATCATAGATTATAAACTAATATATCTATTCCGCTCTCTAAACAGGTATTTGCCGGCAATTGTCAGGTAAACTAAAGTCAATTGAAGACAAAATGTTTTGCATCGAAACAAATATTTCTTTCTTAGTGTGAGCTGTTATTTCGAGAAGAGGAGAGCCTTTGCCACTGGAATTGCTGTCTGCGGATCAGGTGCTCTAATATTGTCAATTATGTAAATATTAATTTATATTTAATATTTTATTTCTTTAAAATCCAAGGCATCGGTAGTGCAGTTCTGGCGCCACTGATTGAGTGGTTGGTCGGACTCTTCGGTTGGAAGGGAGCGATGCTTATCGTCGCCGGACTTACGTTAAACTGTTGTGTATTTGGAGCGCTATTTCGGCCACTCGTTGAGACCTACGAAGACTGTGATGAAAATGAAAAGGAAAAAGAAGTGACAAAACCGCTGAAAGAAGTGGTCACTCACTCTCTGTCCACATCTGAAACGTTTAAATTGAAGCCAAGATTAGAAATAAACGTAACGACTTCTATAGACGAAGAGGACGAAGATTTTGACAAATTCTGTGAGAAAGAGAATAACTTGAAGAATGGATGCATTAGTTTAGCCAATAATCTGAACGAAGCGGTCGATGAGATGAGACGTCCGGCCAGACATTCATTTTCGGTAAACAAAGTGAATGAAAGCCAAACAACCGATAATCTAAGCGAAAGTGTTATGCAAAACGCCACGAGTTTGAGTTCGGTTCAGGTCTACAACACATGCGATCTCCAGAATACTAAAGAGTCCGGAGAGTGTCCGGAGAGGCGGCGGTCGTGTTCGCTCTCTCCCGGCATTTTGTACCGAAAGGACATTTTCTACAGCGGAAGTCTACTAAACATTCCGCACTACAGGTCTAACCCAGACCTCATCCAAACGTCCAAAAAGTCGGCCCAAAACGAGTGCTTTCTTTTCCGTTGTTTTCACTGTTCGCGAGAAATGATTGACACGTTTAACGAAATGCTTGACTTCACAATTCTCAAGAATCCTATCTTCTTATTGTTCGCCGTCTCTAACTTTCTCACATCCATTGGATTCTTTGTCCCACATATTTATATTAAGGTTTCATTCAGAGCTGTCAAACAATTCATGTAAACTAACGCTAACCACGTTTAGGATCGGGTATTACTCTTGGGTATAGCCAATGGCCAAGAGTCTGGATTCTTCATAGCGGTGATCGGCATTGCGAGTACAATCGGTCGACTAGTGTTTGGCTATCTCTCTGACCACTCGTTTGTGAACCGGTTGTGGCTCTACAGCGCAAGTTTGACCGTCTGTGGGATCGCAACAATGTTTAGCTCATTAGCGATAACACACTCTTTAATGACAATCTATTGTATTGTTTTTGGCATTTCTTGCGGTACTTAATATTTGATGAAAATACTGTTTATAACATAACGTGGTTTTAATGAATTGTAAATAATGTATAAAATAGGGACGTATGTGAGCTTAACGTCAGTAATTTTGGTCGATTTATTGGGTATCGAGAAATTGACGAATGCTTTTGGGATTCTTCTGCTGTTTCAAGGCGTCGCCTCTTTCATCGGACCCCCAATTATCGGTATTTACAGTATTATTAAAATATTATTAAAATATAATTTTGTTACTAAAATGCACTCATCATATCTGAAGGATGGCTGTTCGACATGTCGGGATCATATGATCCGGGATTTTATTTGGCAGGTCTGTAAACATTATAATTCTAATATAAATATAGCAAACTATTTGTTAGCAAATGTTTAACTCATTCATCATTTTAATCATAAAAAACATTAGTTTACCCTTAAGTTTGTTTTTCTTCTCAAACTCTATTGTTATTTAACGTATTATTTTAAGCCTCAATGAAAACTCTTGAACCCTTCTGTATATTCATTATGTCTTAAAATAGTTCTCACTTTAAATGAAATCAGAACTTCAGATGCGATGACTTTTGTTATTTTTTATACATTTTTATTATTTTTTATTAAACATAAAACTTAAAAGACTTTTAGTCTAAACATAAAATTGTTTTTGAGACGAAATATACATGAAATTTAAATTAATAATTTTATCCCAAGTTTTTGTTGGCAAGTCTTTAAATTAAATACATTTATTATATTTATAACTTCTTTTAAATAAACTAATATTTTAGAATTAAAAAAATTAATAGCGTTTAGTAAATAAGTGTAATTTTTATTTATTAACTTATTTACTCATTTTAATGCCACGATTAACGTAAACTTTATTAAAAACAATTTCAAGTGTATTTTAAAATATAAAATTTAGTAAATAAGTAATGCATGGCTTATTATAAGTGATATTATTTACAATAAAAAATCTATTTTTTGAATGAAAAGTGATTAGTAAACGAATTACAGCTAATTTTGAGCCAATTTTAAACCAGACTTTACAACAATTATGTGTTTGTGGTTTGTTTGGCAAATGTACTTTTATATGCATTGATTGATTGCCAAAACATAGTAACTTATAAAACATTAATAGTATCAAAAACATTATCAAATAATTATTTTTGAAAACATCAGTCAAACAAATTAAAACCAATTAAGTCTCAAAAATTATTTTGAAATTTTAAAATTAAATCTAATTCAATATCACGTCTAAGACTAAAATAAACCTTTAAGATTAAGAATACGTCAGACAATTGAGAATATAATACGTTAAATAATAAGCAATAAAATTTAATATATTTAATATAAAAGTTAAACATTAAATATGATGTTTAACTAATCAATCTAAACAACATCAATCTTTTAAAGACAATTACTTTATAAATTTAATACTTAATGAATTGATTAACAATTTGTTTAATTATGACTCCATAGGTTGTATGATAGCGATGAGCGGAATAATGCTATACTTTATAGCGTTTGCAAAATACTTCAAGTCTTTGAAGAAAAACTTTTCACTTTAATAATTAAATTTAAAAAAATATAATAATATATTTAGTATTAAAACACAATTTCAGCAAAAGATACTATTTATACGAAATGTTAAGCAACTATAATATATGGACATAATTCAGACCCTTTTGTAAACTCATGCAAAGCTAGAAAAAAATATAATAATATATTTAGTATTAAAACACAATTTCAGCAAAAGATACTATTTATACGAAATGTTAAGCAACTATAATATATGGACATAATTCAGACCCTTTTGTAAACTCATGCAAAGCTAGAAAAGATGGAAATATTATAAAATATCAGTTTTGTTTATTATTTAAAATATTGTTAAAATAGTTATAAGAATTATACGAAGAAATTGTAAATATTTTCAGCAAAAACAACAGATTTCTTATAGAGAAATGAAAGGAATGCCTTATTTACTCCAAACGTTTATAACAAATATTAAACAAAAACACATTATAATGTAAATTGTATAGTAATTGTTAGAAATTGTTATACAGTTTCCCTGTTTATACTCTACACGTTGTAGTGTTTAACAGATAACTTAAAAATGTAAACTCCAAAAAAACAAATTGAATCAAGATTTATTTTAATGTTTTCAGATATTAATATTGATATATATTATATATAATTTGTTTATAACTTTATCATTGTTTCCAATTTACATTTATTATATGTTATGATAATTAATTAATTAATTAGAATTTAATTATATATATGTTTAATGTAAAAATTATTATAAGGAATAAATTCCTAAATTAAAATATTGATGACATAAAGTGAAATCATGTTATAATCAATTTGCGAAAAAGAAATTTTTAATTTAATCAAGAGTTGTCTCATTATTACAATACAATTGATATTATTTTAATTTAATTACAATAGAGATATTAGGTTAAAGTTATTAGGCCTTTTTCGTGCATTATGAATACACATCTAGGTATACAAATAAGAAAAATTTTCTTATTTTAAATTACCACAAGATTACAATTAAATACTCATAAGAATAGACCAGTAAATCAAACAATACAAACAAAAAGTCAGTGGAAAGACTATTCTTGAGATTTTGTCAATGAGTTTAGACCAGACAAT